TATATATATATATATATATATGTATATATATTTATAAATAATAACGATTTTAAACTGTACAGAGTGTGTTTTCAATTAAAGTTATACATAGATTTTTGTGAATTAAATAAGCATAAATTAATTAATAACAATAACTATTTATATTTAAATGTTCAATACATTAAGTTTAATATCACAAGAATAATTTTTAATTTATTTATAAAATTTTATGTGGACAGGGTTTTACAATCAATGGATCTCTTTTATAATAATTTTGTTTATTACTATTACTGTTATTTTATAATAAATACACACACTCGAATCATTGCAAAATCACATTTTTAAGGAAACGATAAGATTTATAATTGTTTATTTTTAATTAAATATTTTATAAAAAATATTGTTTATGAAAAAACAAAAGGTAAAAATATCTACATTAAATTCATTACAAAAAATTGTGCGTTATACATAATGAAATTTAAATTTAATAAATTGTTGATCATTTTTTAGTCATGAAACCATAAAAAACTTGTCTAATGTACTTAGGCGTCATATATATATATATATTTACAAACGAAAATTATGTCGATAAAAAACGAAAATATTTAATTAAGAAAAAAAAGCCATTAAAATCGTAAATATATTAAATATATATATAATATATCGGCTGATTTTTTCTTGTTTACAGCTGTTTTTAATTGTATAAATAAATTTAATAATCTATAATTGACATTCCGATATCATAATTATTAAACTTGTTGAGTTTTTTTGTTTGGTTACTGTGTATGAATTATTGCTGCAACAAAATTGAATAGCGTTTTCGATATTTTTGCACTTTGGTATGGAATTAATAAAAAAAATTTTCTCTTCTTGACTATCACGAGTTATTTAGATGTGAAACTTGAACTTGTCGGAGATAAATAAATTTATGTTGCCGCAATACTTGTACATTATTACATTGTTATTATTAATTGTCATAAATTATTGATTTTATTATTATAATTTTATTGGATGTATAAAATCTATATTTGTTATTTGTTATTTTATAAATGTATAATAGTTTTATGTTAAAAGGTTACTGATAGTTATTAGATAATGGTTTTTACATGGGTATTTTATTTGCGTCTCTGAATTTTTAGTTTTATTATTATTAAAATTTTATTAAAAGTAAATATTTAATTAAGTTAGAAAAATAATGTACGTTAATGACTACGAATTTAAAATGATAAAAGAAGTAATAATTTTAATTTTAATTATTTAAAGCATTATCATAATTATATAAGTTAAATAACCAGGGTAAAATCGTTCGGCGATATTTAAAATAATTATAATATTGTTTATTTAAGTGTAACATTCCTATGAGGTTTAACTTATAATTTTCAATTATAATTGAGTGACGGATTACCAAAGTGACCTTTCAACATTTAATTAATTTAAAATTAAATATCGGTTTCAATTTTTTAATATTTTGTAATAATTATTTTAAAAATAATTTTCAGAACAGGGATATTGCCTTATTATTATTGATAATTAATTGTTAATGATAAATTTTAAATTGTATAAACTTTTATTATAATTATAAATATATATATATATATATAAATACATTTTTATTTGTTAAAGTCCCACTGTGTGTTGAATATATTAAAATAAAAGGGGGTGCTGTACATTAGAAGATGTTTTATGTGTGTGATAATTAAGACTTGTTTTTTGTTGACGTCAGCCTGTTGCACTATTATTATGAATAAAAGAACTCTATGCAAAATGCTGTCTTATTATTGAACCTGTATTATATTTATTTTTATTTTTAGTTTATAATTAAAATTTTTAAAAAGTTTATAATATTTTTCTAATTGAAATAATAATTTAGATGTCATTTTTTTAATTTTAATATCTACTCGGTTAATTTAAGCTTTTTTTCGATAAAAAAAAATTAATTGTTAATTGAGTAGTTTGAATTTAAATCAATGTTAATTATTTATATTGATAAAATGTTCACAAATCTATAAAAAGTGTTTCAATACTTATGAAGTGTAATTTGAAGTTGCAGTAAAAATATTTGTCACCTAACTGATTTAAAAATAGGTGATTAAACGTATTTGAACATTGTGATATCTTCAAGTATTTTTTCTTATCTAAAAAATATTTTTTATGACAAAATCGACTTGCTACTACGCAGTTTACAAACTACATTACACGGGTGTTTTTAAAAAGCATCAAATTGATACAAAGAACAAATTTAAAAATTGTGTTTAGTATAATTAAGTAGTTAGTAAATATAATTACTATTAAAGTATAGTTAATAAAGGTAAGTATTATTAAAATAAATGAATAAAATTGTAAATTTAATTTTTCAAATCGGAAAATAATTTTTTTAATTTATAGTGTTATGTAATCATTGATCATCATTGAAGATAAATCAATTTTTATCATTGAAATTAACTTTCTATAGACATCAAAATATAGACTACTTAAAAGATAATTAAAAACTGAAATTACTTTATAATTTTAATTAATATGGGCATTACTAAATGTTATGAAATATGTCAAAATATATTAGAGAGCGCTCAACTGTGCAGAAATCAAGATAATTCCCAACAAAAGTGTAAAATTTATATTGACGGATTAGATTTATGGTACTTTAGTTATAATAAAAATCGCTTTCCAGACAAGAAGAATGCTACCATAAATTTAATGAAAATATTATCTATGATTAAAAAAAATAATTTTATTATTGACTCTGTAAAAATTTATTTAACGGGTAAAACTCCTGAAGTAAAAAACAGAGCAAATACGTTCCATGAAAGTCTGTTCGGAGAATTACTATATTGGTGCCACTTTCTTGTCGAAAGATTTAAATTCATCGAATTTGAATCTTTAAATTTTGGAGAAGGAGAGAGCCAATGTTTCTTCGCTCGCGATAAAAATTATCCATCAATTATCGTTACAAATGATTCTAACATATTACCTATTTGTTATAAATATCAACCTCTATCAGATAACGACAATGTTTTTTTCTATATACTGAAGAAAGAAATTATTTATGACGCTAGAATATTCAAAACGATACTTTGTAAAAATGCGTTTACGTTGCTTTTATTTCTCAATGGTTCTCCAGAATTTATTGAACCACTTTTTACACTATCGATGATTAAATTAATATTTGAAATTTTGGACAGTCATGATCCAATTTATGTACAAAGTTTAAAAAATATCAATTCAATAATGATTGAAATAAACGAAAGTAACATTGAAAAATGTATTGCTTATTTCATTTTAATATTGTGCGATTTAAAAAGAAAAAAAATTGGTAAATTTACATGGCCACAGGCCAATAGCAAAATTAAAACAGTAAATTATACTGGACTGCTTAAATGGTTAATTATGTACTCAAATCAAGGCACAAATGTTGAAAATTATAATTACAATTTTAAAATTACTGATAGTGAAGGTGTATCAAAGTTACAATATTTTTTTAAAATTTGCAAGAACGCTTTTCGTGATACTTTTAAAGATGTTGAAGATCCTGAGAATTGTAAAGATCTTGAACGTATTATGTACGACATATCAATTAATGAAATAATTAATATGGTTTAACAATTATACAAAATATTCGAATTTTTAATTTTTTTTTTTTTTATATTCATTGAGGCATAATATACATTAATTCAACTTTAAGATAGTAATTATCTATATTGTTATAATTATATAATAATCTAAAATACATGATTTTAAGAGAATGTATATTAAATAATTTATAAAATTGTATTTCGCTTGTTGTTATTATTATAATCATATAAATAAAAATTTTTTCATAAAACAAATTTAAGAATGAATAAATTTTTTTTTTGCTATCAGTTAATAATTTTTAATGAAAATTAAGTTAGCCGACTTAATAATATAATAATTATAAAAAAATTGTCATTTGTTAAAAACTTGAAAAACTGTAAGTGCAATTTTTTAAAAATATTTTTTTGTTCTAATTTAATTGTTAAAAAAAAAAATCAAAAAATTAAAAACGTCGGTTAACTTTAATATCATTAATTTTTAATACAATATTTAATCAAATTTATCACCTTATAACATGCCAGCGCGAATATTGAAAAAAAAAATAAATATCTTGACCTCTCCATAATTGGTAGCAGATCATTTTTAATTTAAAAATTTTAATAGAAAATAATAGATAACATAGTTCCCCATTTTTTCGGTGTGTCGTGTGCCCTCTGCCCCTCTCCATTAATTTCTAATTTCCGCAACGACCGCAACTTGAAAAGAGTGTGTTTGACACTGGCCCAGACTGGCAGCACTGGTGTATCATTGTGACAAGTTCTTTCATACGGCAAAGAGTGGCAAAGAGTGTAGATCCAGCAAGCACACGTTCTTCCTGCTCACTTTGTTTTGAATTAATTAACACTTCATTGATTTATCAACAACCATAACCATCTTTAATTTTCTAACAACGCAACAAGTGTCAGGTAATAAACTTATTCAAATTTATATTGTTATTATTATTTTTATTATTTTTTTATTGAGAAATTAAAAAGGACAATTTTTTCTTCTCGCTTATAGTTGTATAATGTAAAAAAAAATATTTAAGAATTTTCGGTATGTGTTTCTCCGAATTTCATTTACGTTGTTTTATGTATATTATATCGTAATGATTTCAACCTCAGAATAAAATAATGTATTGTTTTCATAGATGTTAAAATTAGTAAACGTCTGATAATTTATTGGTTTTTTTTTTTTATGCAGTTATGAAGAAAAAAAAATTATGAGTGTGATTGTAACAGATGTAAAAAAAATTTAAGATCCCAAAAAACAGTTTAAAATTGTATTTTGGAAAAATGAACGTACTAATTCTAAAATTCTTTACACAAGAAATTTTTTTGTGTTTCTAAAATTTTTCTATAACTAAAAAAAAACTGTCAGATTTCTGCTAATTTCATTATCATGATTTTCATTATAATTATTTATTTTTAATTAATATTAATAAAATTTCAGATTTTTCTTAAATCGGCGACAACGAATTAAATACTTTAACCATGGGTATTTTGGATTGCTTCAAACTTTGTTCACCTCTGATCGAAACAGCTGCGAGTACTACGTATGAAGTTCATCGCCAAAAAAGAACCACATGTAACATTTACATCGATGGATTAAGCGTCTGGTTTCTCGGATATACAAACGGTGCGCCTAACATAGCGAATGCTCATCAAAAGCTCATTGATATATTGCATCATATCAGAAGCGGAGATTACTTTACTATAAATTCGATAACTATCTATTTCAATGGAGAATATCCAGCTTTGAGAGGTAAACCTATCTCTCAGCGTGTAAACTCTTGGGAAGTTCGTAAATGGTGTAGTGAACTTCTTGATGACGGAACTATTAACAATGTTAAATTTTTGGATGTCGGCGAAGCAGAGAGCGAGTGTTTTTTCGAACGCGATAAGAGATTTGCTTCCATGATTGTTACAAAAGATTCAGATATAGTGCCTATCTGTTACAAGTATAATCGTAGGACGAGTAATGATACTGTTTTTTGCTATTTAACCCACCGTGAAATTTTCTACGATACAAATTTTTTGACTACCAAGTTAAATAAGTGCGCGTTTACATTGTTAGTATCATTACGGAGTAATGATTTCATTGAGCCAATATTTTCATTTACGATGGTTAAAATAATATTCGATTTGTTATTGAACAATATCTCATTATATAATAATCATTTCAAACTAATCAACTCAATTATACGCGAAACTAACGAAGATAATATCAAAAAATGTATTGTGTATTTTATTTGGATCATGGTTGATGCTAAACAACGTTCACTTGGTAATTTTAAATGGCCACCAATTAGAACTGAAATGGAGACGGAGAATTACCTTGAAGTACTTGATTGGTCGATAATGTATTCGAAATTCGGCAAAAATATTAACAATTACAATGAAAATTTTAGAATGGCTTGTAATAATATGAGTAAATTTTATTTTATTTTAAGTTTGTGCAAAAGTGTTTTTCCTATTTTCCGAGAATACGCTGTAAATAACTTTCAAGATATCGAAAACATTATGGGGGATATTGAATTGTAATCAAAGAAGTTTTTTTCTAAAGTTATTTTTTAAATTTATCTTTTTCTTTGCATTTAGCTTGTAATTATTTAGTTTGTTATTATTTACTATTACTTTACTCGAATAAAATTGTCACACTTTGTTGTAAGTTGACAAGAATATTTTTTGTAATTAGATACAAAAGAAGTACAATTGTATTAATAAAAAGTATTGCGTTGCAGGACAACTTGCTTAAAAGTGTAATGTTAGACTGATAGCATTATAGAAGTTTGAATATGTATATGTACTAAAGTAGTTGCTTTAGAGCTAGAATAATGAATGAAATAAAATAAGTTAATAATCATTTATAAAAATTATAATTTTGTATTTTGATAACATTTTCAATTAAAAACTAAAAAATACATTTTTACGATTTTTTTTTCTGATACAATTTTTAGTAAGTAAACTATTTTCGTACCAAGTGAATCCTAAAGTGACGCCCACTTGTTGAAGATACTAATAAAAATTGATCCTGCTCAAGCGTCATAAAAGAAATGTTGAATTCTTGGTAGATTTTACTCAACAAAAAGTCAAAAATTACTAAACGTCAACTTAAATTCGATAAAACATTAACAAAAAAAATTTGTGCCGCTTAGGTGATAATTTCTACATCACTTAATATCTTTTCAAGAGTCTCCATCTTTATTTTATATCTGATTTTATATTTCGAAAATATAACTTCGGTAGTTATAATTAAGTTATTAAAGAATGAGAAAAATTTTTTTTATTACTAATTAATTTATAATAAAAAAAAAACTTATTATTTTAATACACGTTAATAATAATATTATAGTCGTTATCAATAACACCAAAAATATTAATAATAATAGATAATATAGTTCCCTTTTTTTAATTAGCTACATGAAAATTAATTTAGCACATATTTGATCATTTTAAGAATTTCATAACAAAAAAATTGACATGAAAATAAAGTTAGCCGACATCTAAAAATTTTTATGATTTTTTTTTATTAAATAATTATTACAAAAAAAATTTAAAAAAAATTTTCATTTGTTAAAAACTTGAAAAACTATAAGTGCAATTTTTAAAAAATATTTTTTAGTTATAATTTAATAAATTAAGCAAAATAAAAAAATCAAAAATGTCGGCTAACTTTATTATTATAAAATTGACACATAGAAATTTTAAAAAGTAAAAAATACAATTTTTGTCGGCTAACTTTATTATTATAAAATTGACACATAGAAATTTTAAAAAGTAAAAAATACAATTTTTTTTAAATAATTTTTTGGGACAAATTTTTTTGTTAAAAAAAATTAAAAAATTGTCAAGTGACAGCTAACTTAAATATCGTATTAGCTACGTGTGTCGTCCCCTCCGAAATTTCAGCGTCTTGAAAAGAGTGAGACGTTTTTTCATAGCAAGAAACATAGGGCCCGACAGAAGCTAGAGAGGTGGTAAGTTTTACCCACGATCTGGGTACACTGCCGGGTAGAATCATTAGTCATCAGTTTTTGGTCATGACCAGTACTAAACGTTCTTTTGTTATCTAAGTTGTGAGTTAACACTTCGTTAAATTTATAAACAACCCTAACCATCATTAATTTCCAAACAGTGACATAATTATCAGGTAATAAACTCATCTAAATTTATATATTATGATTATTATAAAATTTTTTTTATTTAATACAAATGTAGATTATGATACTAAAGTTAAAACATCTGACAATTTTTTAAATTCTCTTAACAATTAAATATTATAAAGAAAATTTAATAAAAAAAACTTTGCGTATAGAAATTAGAAAAAAATTATAAATAAGAAATTTTTAACTATACTATTTTTTTTTACTATAGTTTATTTGTTATAAAAATTCCAAAATTTTTCAGATATCCGCTGACTTCAGTATCATATTTGAATTTTTTTTTTCGCTTATATAATTACGTAATAAGTACAGAAAGAAAATATTTAAGAATATAATCGCATAAAATAATTTAAGAATGCTTGGTATGTGTCTCTCCGAATTTAATTTCTATTATAGTACATATTAATATTCTCTTATTATACTTTCAATTTATAAATCAAATAATGCATCGTTTTTATATGGTGCTAAAATTTAGTAAATATAACTTATGATTAATTCTTAATTTTCTTCAGCAAATAAATTTAATAAATTTCTAAGAAAAATAAATTGTATTTGTAGCCGACAACAAAATTTTTAGATTGAAAATAAACAAAAAAAAAATTTTTTTTAATGCATGTAATTCTAAAATTTTATGCATAAGCATTTTGTTACTTCAAGTTTTTTTAATGTTTTTTTTTTTTTTTTTTTTTTTTTTTTTTTTTAAGTTAATTGGTTAAAAAAAATTCAAAAATTAGTAGACAACTTCTTATTTTAATACTCACTACTTTCGTAAATTTACAATTGAAATAAAAAGAAATTAAAAAAATTTCAGATTTTTCATAAATTGGCGACAACAAACTCAAAAATTTAACCATGGGTATTCTGGATTCCTACAAGCTGTGTTCAACTTTGATAGACAAAGCAGCCAGTACTACAAAGCAAGTTCATTGCGAAAAAAGAAACACATGTAACGTTTACATCGATGGATTGAGCGTCTGGTTTCTCGGATATACAAACAGTTCACCTGACAGCGCGAATGCTTATCAAAAACTCATTGACATATTGGATTATATCAGAAGCAAAGATTACTTAGATATTAATTCTGTAACTATGTATTTTAACGGAAAATATCCAGCCTTGAAAGGCAAACCTATCTCTGAACATGTACAATCGTGGGAAGTTCAGGACTGGTCTGAGGAACTTCGTGATGATGGTATCGTCGACGATGTTGAGTTTTTGAATGTCGGCGAAGCAGAATTCGAGTGTTTTTTCGAACGCGATAAGAGATTTGCTTCCGTGATTGTTACAAACGACTCAAATATACTGCCTATTTGTTACAAGTACAATCGTAAGACGTGCAATGATACTGTTTTTTGCTATTTGACCCACCGTGAAACTTTCTATGATACAAATTTGTTGACTACCAAGTTAAACAAAAGTGCGTTTACATTATTATTATTTTTACGTGGTAGTGAAGATTTTATTGAGTCACTGTTTTCGTTTTCGATGGTCAATCTAATTTTTGAATTATTAGAAAAAAATGATCCATTTTATAATCAACATTTCAAACACATAAATTCAATTATGAGACAAGTTACCGAAGATAGTATCAAAAAATCTATTGTCTATTTCATTTGGATCATAATTCATGCTAAAAAAAGTTCAGTCGGTAATTTTAGATGGCCACCTGCGGACACTATAATGGAAGTAAATAATTATCCTCAAGTTATGGAATGGGTTATATTGTATTCAAAACGCGGCAAAGATGTTGACAACTACAACATAAACTTTAAAAATTGTGATTATGATCTTGACTGTTATTGTAAATTCCATTACATTTTAAGCTTGTGTAAAAAATTTTTTCCTTGTTCTGAATCTTCAGATTATCCTTGTCTCTGTTCTGCTGAGAAATTTAAAAATATTGAACACACTATGGAAAATATCAGCAGTGATAAATTGCTGGCAATTTAATCATAATTAATTGTCTTCATATATTTCCAAGATTTACACTATTTAACACTATAGAAAATATCAGCAGTAATAAATTGCTCGCAATTTAATCATAATTAATTGTCTTGATATATTTCCAAGATTTTTTTTTTTTTAACTAAAAATTATTTCATATAAACCAATTTTCTCAACCGTGATTTTAATAATTAAATGAGTTTGTTTTATCACCAATGCGATCAATATTTTTTGACTAGTTTTAAACTAATTCAAGTCGAGATGGAGCATTCCATCTTCGCTAAAAATCGAGACGGGATTGTCTCTTGTTGTTAGGTCGATGGATTCCATCAAACAAGAATACTAGTAAGCTGGAAGTTGTTAGTATCTGTTCAAGGTATAAAGATGTTAATAAACGAAAATCATCTGAGAGCGAAAGCAACTTTGAAAAAATTCGTGAAAAATTTCATATATTTAGTTTGTGTTTATTTACCATAATTACATTTGAATAAAATATTTAAGTTTTATTGTAAGTGTCATCAACATTCTCCAACGAATTAAAGAGTTTATTTTCGTAATTAGATACGAAAGAAGTATTGTATTAATAAAAGGTATTGTGTTGCGGGACAATTTGCTCCAAGTATAATTTTACTTAGACTGATAGCATTTAAGAAATTTGAATATACATAAGTATTTAGTTTAAAGGAAGAATAAGAAATTAAACAAACTGAATTAAATAAAATGAGCTTATAATAATTAAAAAAATTATAACTATAAATAATTTTGTATTTTTATAATATTTTCAATTAAATTCATTACATTTATATATTATCTATGTATTTCATGCAGTATTTTGATAATAGCTTCAATAAAAAAAAAATATAAAGCATTTATGTAACAATTATTTTTACTTGATACACATTATTTTTAACGGATAAAATATCATTTTTGTATGAGAGAATCCCAGAGCTTTTAATATAGAAGCTACGCCCACTTCTTGAAGATACCAATAAAAATTGGCTCTGATAATAATTACTGCGTCACTCATTATATCTTTTCAGGAGTCGCCATTTTTACTTAATATCATATTTTTAATTAATAGTTTAGATTTTACGATAATGGATATTTAGAAATTGTTATTGTTAAAATTATTTACAGTATTTAAAAATCGTAAAAGTACAGAATTATCTCATGGGTAAAAAAAATAATATTACGGTCAAAAATAACCAAGAAATATAAAACTTAAAAAAAAAAAAAAACGTAGTGACTATGGAATAACATATCTTAAGCTCCATAAATTACTCTTTTAGCAGATTTTCGGGATATTTACTTTCGGATTAGGTTCATGGGGGCTTTGAGGCATTTAAAAAGATTTTTTTTATTGAGAACCATAAATTTTGTTTGAAAAAAAATACACATTTAGACACTTTAACAGAGAGAAAGTAAGTCTGGATAACAAAGAAATTAAAAATATTAGATCCTTAAAATTACAAGAGCTTAAACATACAGATGTGCTATTTTATCTAATACTCGGATACAATGTACTTAACACAACCATAAAACATATTACGATAAATATTTTTGAGAATAAGACAGCCTGCATCTAAATTAGATTTGTTGAATTTATATATTTAATTTTTTAACATTATAGTTAATTATTATAAATAAAAAATAAAATAAGAATTTTCTTTTTCAGTTTTAATTTTATTACCACAAAAACGTTCACATCTATAATTTTAATATAATTTTTTTCTAGTGCTAAAATGATCAAACATTCGCTAAATAATTCTATTCAATAATTGTTTTTTAAATATCATTATTATCATGAAAAAACAAATGATTTATTCATAAAACTTTGAAATAATTTTATATATAAGATCTTTCAAAGGCGTCGAATGTTCAAATTTTTTTCTAATAAAACAAATTAACGAAATTAATTTTGGATCGCAATAATCTATAGATACAAACAAATTTTCAGATAGATTAATAAAATAATTTGAATGAAGTAAATCTAGAAAAAACCCATTTAAAATTGTTTGCACGGATTGCATACAAAGTATTATCACGATTAGATGACTTATATGATTCTGTCAGTTATAATTGTTTTATTTTTGCTTAATTCAAGGTCCGTATGTTGCAATCATAATCAATAGATTGCTTTTATCTCATTTTTAAACGCTAATCAGTTGCAATCTATTCCTTTTTTTTTAACACCTATTTAAATATAATCTATCGATGCTCACTATTTGTTATTCTTGAGAGTCTTTTGAGCTAACAATAAATTATAAGAAGTTATAACAATTTTTATACAAACTAATAAAATTTTTTCAATCTAATTATGATACATTTTTATAAAAAAAGGTAATAATTTTCTTTTTTTTTTAACGAATTTTAATTTTATATTTAAAACATAATTGCAGTGTGTGGCTTGTAGAAAATTGTAGATCTTCAATAAAATTCATTTCTATGAATGCGAATAAGTTACCATCAAAACATCATATTTATAATTACGCGATCGAAATATAAAAAATCGAATATGAAGATTTCCACAAGAAATATTTCTTAAATAATTAAAATTTTTCTTCAAATTAATAGTTAGATAAATTTTATCAAGTCCAAAATATTGTTACCACAAATTCGTTATAACTTCTATAATAATTTAGTTTTTTATGTAAGAGCTGTATTTTTGTGGTAATCATGTAATAACTCTAATAACTTTATTTATATTTTATAAATGCAGTTCTCGCACAGATGAATAATTTTTACTATTATAAATTTTTCTGCAAAACCATGACGTTTTTTAACAATAGTTCCGTTAGTATATTGAATAATTCCGATAAGTTATTACTAAACTTTCATACAGTCAAAGAACAAATAATAATTTGCAAAAGAGTATCGTATGATTAATACATGCAATATGCGTAGTCACGATGTTGTTTTCTATGTACGATAGATTTATTGCTAATAAATTTATATTTAAATAGAAAAATATTGGTCACCAGGGTAAAAGATAAAAAAAAGTTGAATAACAAGCAATTGCTTGTTTAAACCGTTAGCTGAAAATTACTCATAGCAAAATCTATTTAAAGAGCTGTTCTCTGGCATTACAGTTTCATTAATTTCTTTTAAACATATGAGAATTAACCAAAGAACGCTCTGATATTCGATAGACTCTTTGTAAATCTATCTTCTAGAAGAGCGTTTTTTTTTATTTAATTTCCATTTGATTACAAGAAATTTGATTCTTAAGTTTCCATTTGTTGTACAAGTGCAACAAAGATAGAACGTTTTCTATTTATAATTGCAAGTAAGAACATTAATGATTTAAAAAAATTCGGAAGTTATTCGTTTTACCTCAATTTTCGAAAGTTGAGTTTTCATCTGATTTCCACGTTTTGAGGTATGAGAAAGAAGTTCTGATTATTTTTACGGTTCTTGTTACTTTTAAACGATTTGATTAATCGAAACGCAGTTCAAGGCATTAGAAATAGTTCTACACTGTAAAAAATTTGCGGAGTGAACGCGGAGTGAATGAGGAGTGAATGATTTTTAATTGATTCACTCCCAGCGGGAGTGATATTTACTCCGAGAAGGAGTTAATTTTTATTAGGGGAGGGGGGGGGGGCAAAATGGGGTACCCCCAAAATTTCGTAAAAAAATTTTTTTTTCCAAAAAGCTTTTTTAGCTTTCTAAAATATATTTTAACGTCATTTCCTACAATTTCAGAGGAAAAAAAATTTTTTTTACATGCAGTAAAAAAAATTTTCGTCAAATTTAACACAATAATTTGTGTTACTGACTAGTTTTTCACAAACTAATGTCAATTCTACATTCTAGTATGTTAAATCAACACATGAGAATGTAAAATTATACACACTAAGGTGTAATTTGCTACACAAAAATTTTTACACTTTACAAATTGACGAAAAATTTTTTACGGTGCAGTAATTTTTATCGTCATTGTGAATCATAATAATTTTTTTT